GGACCCCCCAACTACCCTCTAACATACCCTAAATACCCACTATTAATGGCCATAAGGGCTCTCCATTAAAGGGCCCTTGGGGGGTCCTGGAAGGGTTTAGGGTTTAGGGTGAAGGGTGAAGGATCGTGCCTGCCACTCCCGTGGACGCATAAAGTAGAGGCTGCGGAATCGCCGGAGACCTGGTCTTTATAAGGGTTTGTTCAAGGTTAAGGGATTTAGGTTTCATAGGAGATCGGGAGTTTAGGGTTCAAGGCTTAGGGTTTTAGGATTTAATTAGGAAATTTAGGGTGAGGATTTGAGCTTCAGTTTATAACGCGTACTTCTTACCGTTCCTTCTCATTTCAGAATAGGTGTTCTGTGTAACTTGGAATAAATATGTTACTCGACATCTACATATCTATGTATGTCCTTGTCTATACCCAGAGCTGTATCGTGCTGCATCTGTATCTGTATCATGAGTATCTATCAGTATCTATACTATCTGTTTCATCTAAACCTGCAGCCGTGTCTATATCTATGTCTGCCTATAGTCCTTAGTCTATTTCTATACCCACATCTGCATCTGTGATCTGTGTAAGTCAGTCCATATATCTATCTATATATATATATATTTAGATTTATTATACGCATGCATATATAATTACATGCATACATACATGCATACATACATACATACATACATATATGCACTGACATGCATACATATCAGCGTGCGCACATCCATCCATCCATCCATCCGTCCGTCCGTCCGTCCGTCCACCCATCCACCCATGCATGCATACATGCGTGCATGCATGCATACATGCATCATTTTTAAATCCATCCACCCATCCATCCATCCACCCATCCATCCATCCTTCCAGGCAGGCAGGCAGGCAGGCAGGCAGGCATACACATACGTATACATACATGCACACTCTTTCAAGAGCTGCTTACAATGAAGATCGGGAAGGTCGAGTTTAGATTTATTTAGATAGACGCAGGGCTGGTCCAATTTATGTTGAAACTCCGACTACAATATACAGGGTTCTGTAGGCTAGGTTTGCCAATGAAGATTTCCTATCAAGCCAGACCCTACTCATCACAGGGCTTCTTTTTTTGCCTGGTCTTAAACTCTAAACGGGGTCATACGACCCCAGAGCTCGAATCGCTGCACCCTACCTAAACCCTAAACCCAAACAGCAAGTATCTTGGTCTTGGTACTGACGAGACTGAAACTCAAACAGGTTTTGGAGAGATTGGTTGATGTAGGGCCTGAATAATTAGGATAGGGTTTTTGGGGGTTCCTTATTATAACTCTATATAAAATACCTCCAAACCCTATTCTAATTATTAAGGCCCCTTTTTCAGGCACCGGACTCGTCCAGAAAGCGGGCCATGCTAGCATTTTCGGGGTGGACTCGAATGCATAGAACCCAGCAACAACATCCGCTTGACGATGACACGCAAATTCCAAAAGCAATCAACAAAGTTTTTGCGACTGGGTACAGGACTCAACACATAACTGTGGCGCAGGAGACCGAAAACTTCAGTACTGACCATATATGTCTGCAGACCTGACGTGCAATGCGCTGAACACAAAATGATCCGCAGATCCCTGACGCCTATATGCCCTACAGTCCAAAACCCTAAACTCTAAACCCTAAACCAAGCTGTCTCACTTAGCTGACGGCTCATGCGGGGAGGCGCCATCACGCTCTGTCATGCTGTGGGACGACTGCTTTGTGGACAGCTGGAGTTTAGGGCTTTAGGGTTTATAGGGTTCAGGGGTTTAGGGTTTAGGGTTTAGGGTTTAGGGTTTAGGGTTTTAGGGTAGGATGGGGTATGTCATCGTTGTTGTTAGTGCAGTTGTGGTTATCGAGCATGCTTGTAGACAGGATCGCGCATTTGTCAGTCTGTTCGGGCAGGAGTCAAGGGTGCTGTCTATCATGGTGTGCATGATGCTTCCTGGAGAAAGCTGCGCAGGCAACTTGTCAGACACCAGACGGCGAGAATGACCGTGAGAGGGGCAGAGGGCAGCGAGACCGACGGAGAGAGAGAGGGACACTGATATCAATGGCGGCTGACCACCATGGTCTTCGGATGCTTCCGGCAGTTCGGTTCAGTTGATTGGCTCATGAACCAAACTGGACCCGACATCTATCAGACAACATCAAGGGCGCATGCATTACCGTGCAACCCCAAAACATTCCCTGACTTGTATCAGACAGGGCCTTTTGCATTCTGACTTAAACATATAATATTCCTGCACTCAAGTGACTCACGTGTCTAGCCCCGAAACCAAAGCCTAAATGACAAGGACACACGGACCCCGCATTCCCAAACCCCGAAACCTACCTAAACCCTACCCTCGACCCTAAACCCTAAATCCTAAACCCTAAACCCTAAATCCTGAACCCTAAACCCTGAACCCTAAACCCTGAACCCTAAATCCTAAACCCTAAAACCCTAAACCCTGAAACCTATAAAGGCCAGATCATTTCTACCCTTTTTTGCGCCAGAACCTCGGGGCCATGAGTCAAGATCCACCAAGGCCTCGGGGAGAATTGAAATTCTCGACATACCCGGGCAACCCAAACAGTTGAGGGGCTAGTTGAGCGGTCAGGGCTTAGTATTTTTTGGGGCCTGTTTTAGCGTCTACCCTAAACCCTAAGCCCTAAACCCCTGAAGCCTAAACCCTACTAGCCTTAACCCGAAACCCTAAACCCTAAACCCTAAACCCTAAACCCTAAACCCTAACCCTGGTTTGTTGGGGATCTGGGGTCTTCTGCCCAGCAGGGGCGCCTTTTCATTCTCGGACCCCTAAGATGGGGAGTCCTGTCTGGAAACACCCATGAACCCATGTGGCACTTTTTCTCAAGCTGAGCGTACATGGGTAGTTCTCGAAATTAGGGTCCCTTTTGGGATCCTGCTTATAATGGTGGCGTACTATTTTGGGCACCTAAAGAGGGACCCTAATTTCGAGAATTAGGGTTGGGCTGAGTATGTTGACTTGCAGGCTGTTCTCTCACTATGCTGGGCTGCATTTTGGGGGACCGTATGATTAAAGTGACGTACTCTTCTTGAATAATAAAATGACATCCACAAAGTTTTCGAGCTACTATGCAAAGTTCCGACAACTGATCGAAACCTTTTAGAGCCTTGTAAATTCACGTAAAAACCCTTAACAAACCACGGCCGATATGCTGAACTTTGCTCTGGCGCTACTGGGCCGGCTCGTTTGAACACCTCACCTTAACTAAACCCTGAACCCTAAGCTGCCGAACCCCAAAACCCAAAAGCCCAAACCTTAAAGCCTGAAGCCCTGAACCCTAAACCCTAGGAGAGCTATCTGCCGCCACGACGCAGGCTGTTACGCAGTGCAGCACGCCCTCGAATGCCCTGCCATCACGTACACTTTGTGGGGTGTTAAGGCTCACAGGACCTCTGGCCCAGGTTTAGGGCGGTAGGGTTTAGGGTTTAGGGTTTAGGGTTTAGCGTTTAGGGTTTAGGGTTTAGGAATCCGGATTAAGGACAAATGGTGCTGGGATTCCCTATACATTACTCTCAAGGATTAAGGCTCTTGGGCTTCCAGCTTTTGGGCTTCTACTGTACAGGGTTTAAGGGTTTGGGGCTTAGAGGGCTTGGGGCTAAGGCTAAGGGAGGCAGGATTTAGGGTTTTAGGCATGCTGAAACAACCCGGCTAACTCTCAACTCTGTGGCACTGAAAGACTAGACGTCTGAAATCGCGTGCCCATCACATTGGTCTGCAAGATGTGCAGAAAGGATCTGGCAAGGAGTTTGGTGATATCTGCAAGGTTTCCGCGGGGAGATACAACTGTTGCAGCTTTTGCCTTGATCCTCGGGCAGGAGGCTTCTGTTCGAATAGTTTCAGCAACGATTGTTTAGAAACTTGAGCAGCACCAAGGCAAGATCCACGAAAAACCCTAAACCCATTATCCACGAAAAACCCTAAACCCATTAAGCCTTGTGTCTCCACTTCTCTTTAAAATACCAAGGGATACCAGGTGGAGGCTTCAGTTGCCGAGCACGGCTGGGCAGCTTATCGCGCAAACCCTTAGGCGTTTAGTAGGGCTTAGGGCTAAAGCCTGAATCTTCCGTCTTGCAGGCTTGCAGAGAGCAGCGACATCGCATCAGAACATCTACTCACCGGAACTATCTACCCATAGGCCCCATAGTAGTTCCTTTTTGGGATTACCTTAGAGGACTCTAAATAAATATGAACCCCAAAAAGGAACTACTACGCGGCCTATATGTAAAGCACCAAGTCCCACACCCCTTCTCTCCTCCGTACGATTGCAAGTGCTTGCACGATTGTGTCTTCCTAGTAAGTATCTCCACATAAATTCAAATCCTAAGGCAAGGTTTGGGGTTTAGGGTTACCCTTAACCCTAAACCCTAAGCCTTAAACCCTAAACCAAAAGCCCTACACCCTACTGAAACTTCTTCTGGTCATTTTCAATGTGGCTCCGCCGGTCGTGCGAAGCTGCAGAAATTCCCCGAGCCGCCTCACAGGCCGTGCTCCCTACAACACCAAATCCCCAAACCTTTGAGGCCCTGAACCCCCCCTTTAGAAAAGGTTGAGGGTTGAGGGATTAGGGGGTTTAGGGTTTAGGGATTAGGGTTTAAAAGTTTAAGGTTTATAGAGATTAGGGCTATAGGGTTATAGGGTTATAGGGTTTAAGGTTCTTGAAGACCTTGACCCCAAACCCTGAAACACCATGCGCCTTATATAGAAGCCTTAACCGTTAACCTTAACCGTTAGAATAGGACTGCTGTGGCATGTTACGGCAAAGAAGCCTACGGAACAACAGTTGCAAGTATGCAGGCCTGTCAACCCAACTCTCAACCCAGACCCTAAACCCTAAACCCCAAACCCTAAACCTTAAACCCTGAAAACCCAACCCTTACAGGGAACCTTATAGAACCCTTGTAAAAAAAAAAACTTCTCAATTATCGAAGAAACATCTATAAACGCTTGCCTCATTCTGTTCGTGCCGCTATCTTCGCTCCGGGTGGCAGGGACCTCGGGGAAGTGGACACCGCCGGGGCTTGACAGAAGTTCAGGTATTAGGGACATTGTCACTCACACTTGTTAGGAGTTTAGGGGTTTGGGGTTTAGGGCTTAGCGATAAGTCTTGTCGTTGTTATGCTTGCAGTTGTGATAGTTTAGTAACGTACATACAGCGATGATGAACATCACAGAACATGAAAAACAACATGGAAGCCGCATCTTCGTCATCATCCAAACCAATAACATAAACAGCATCAAGCTGAATGGACACGTTCAAGCAGAATATGTATTGGTCATGCTAAGGCTTGCCAGAATAACAATACAAGGATCAACAGCACTACTACTCGTAGAAATATTGGTATGGAGCAGTATCAGACATTCACAACAACGTCAACAACAGCATCATGACGGCCACCATCACTATCTTCAACACATGGTAACTACATGACCATGACAAGTGCAGAATTGACAATGCTACGGAGAAGCAATATCAAACAGCAAGCATACTGACGGTACAAATAGTGGCCACAACGAGTATGCATTATACATATGGTTGCTAATTTGTAGTTGCATCCGACGAGCGAATGATAAACATGACGGCAGTCACAACAATCATGGCATTTGAAACCGTCAACAGTAACTACTTTGTGGTGGGATTTCATCACTGTCATCCTCCATCACGAACACTCGCAACCAATAGACCTGAGGTGGGAGGAAATTCAAAAGCTTTAAACCACAAACCATAAACCCCTAAACCCTAAATCCTCAACCCTAAACCCGTAAACTTTGAAGCCTCAACCCCTAAACCCTAAACCAGAACTGCGCCCGGATCCATAAAGTTTCGGATTCCAGATTTACCGGCTTAGGGTTGCTTGCAGCGTTCCGGGCGTCTACTTGCGGAGGTGCTGGAGTTTAGAGTTGAGGGTTTAGGGGAAGGCTTGAGAGCGGTGTCAGACGGTGAGGGACCCTAAACCCTAAATCCTAAACCCTACCGATGCCTGAATACTTGAAAAACTCCACCCCGCAACAGTCCTTTCTGAAGATTATATCGGCATCCATGTTACATCACCTTCGTCGCAATCATCAGGGTATCGGAGTCCCCGGTCCCGTCATATACTAGTGGGGCCCTTCGCATCTGCGAGTTTCAGAACACAGGGAAGTTTCACATAGTGCGCAACTAAGTGGTTTAGGGCTTAGGGTTTAAGAATCCTACCTAGTAAAAGGTACCCCAGATGTTATGAAACCCCCACCTGGCATTGCAGAAGCCAGATGCCACACTCCTCCACTTTTTGCCGGCTGGGCTGGCATCCGCTAGATTCGCCCGGATGCGGCTGGACATAAGGTCCACGGTACGACTGACCGTCTCACTGTCCTCAGGAGGGCGCGGAAGCATAGAGCAGGAGCCAAGCTCGGTGCAATCTCCCTAAACCCTAAACCCTAAACCCTAAACCCTGAACCCTAATGGTGTATAAAGTCCATCAGGCGGAGTTTTCGATTCAGTTGGCCTTGCTTTCGGGGCTTGAGTGCTGAGTTGCGAAGTGTTCGAGTCAGCGCCCCCGGGGTCTGGCAGTCCCTAAACCTTAAACCCTAAACCGTGCCCACAACGTTTGGAAGTCAGGTTAGAGGATTTGAATCTCGAAGTGCCAAGGAACGGGATTTCCGTTCAGGGTTTAGAGGTTTAGGATTTATGTAAGGCCTCAATAATTAGAAAAAGGTTTTGGGGCATATTATATTATAACTATCATAATAAGGAACCCCAAAATTAGTATCAGTAATTATTTAGGCTTCTATATTAGAGGCTTAAGGCTTAGTGGTTTAGGGATACTTCTTTCGGGTTCAGGGGTCCAGGGTTTAGGTGTTTAGGGTTTAGAATCTGATTCAACTTCGTGAATTTCATAAGCAGAGCAGGCAAGCAAAGTCTTCGGAAAGCTGTCAAGAAGCAACTGACATTTGTAGGCAATATACAAGCCACCCTTATGCCTTGACTGATATGATGATACATCCTCAAATTTCCTAAAATAGCTCAAAACCTGAAGCCCTCAACTCCCTAAAGCCGAACAACCCTCAAACAGCCTGCCACAGCCAGCTGCTGCCATGTCTCGGGTCTCTGTCCCAGTGAGCGCATCTCTCCCAGCAGCAGCAAAGCAGAAGCCCACTCCTGCTTCGCCGCACCTTGGACTCATGGGTTTCGGGTTCTACTTGTAGTCTCCATTGTAGTTCCTTTTCTTGGTTTGACCAATTCAATATTTAGGATCCTAAAAGGTAACCCCAAAAAGGAACTACCATGGAGACTATAGGAAGTGTTTAGGGTTTTAGGGTTTAGGGCCAGTATTCTTTGGCTCGGGGTTCTAGGGTTCAGTGCAGTTTAAGGTTTCGGGTTTGGGGGCAGGACCTTTGGCTCGGGGTTTGGGAGGGTTTAGGGTTTGTCCAGAATCCGGGAAGCAGCTAAAACTTAACCTTCAAGGACAAAAAGGGGTGTGATACTACCCCAAAAAGGTTGGAGGTTACCTACCTACTACTAAACTCAAAACCCGCTCAACAACCACATGCAATACCCTAAACCCTAAACCCCTAAACCCCTAAACCCTAAACCCCTAAACCCCTAAACCCTAAACCCTAAACCCTAAACCACCAAAATTAGCCCAAGGCTCATGCTTGCACAGCAAAGTTGTGCATGGCCGCGTTCGGCCGAATTCCTCTCCTCAGAGCATCGGCGGTGAAATCAAGATTTTGTTTAAGGGTTTAGGGTTTAGGGTTTACGGTTTAGGGTATGTGGGGGCCTTAGCAATTAGAATTGGGTTTTGAGCCCCTTTATAGTATATGTATTATGAGGAACCCTAACAATAATCTTGGTAATTATTTAGGCTTGTATATTAAACCCCATGCCCTAAACCGAAGCTAAACCCAAAAGCCCAGGCCCCAAGCCCTAGACCAAACCGTACAGCCTAAGCCTTAGACATTCAAGTTGGTTTAGGGTTTGGGCTTTAGGGTTTAGGCTTGGGGCTTTNNGCTTTGGTTGTGCAATCTTCCTCGATACTGACATATCGTCACCGTTTCTGTTTGTTCCTTTTGGGGCGAGGTACGTTGAACATAGTCCTCGCATTCTGACGGCAGCCACCGGACCAAGGCCATGACCATACTTCAAGGAAAGTAATAGGATAGAAGGTTCCTAGAGGGAATGCCGGTTCCTTTAGGTAGAGAGTCTGTCCAGGCTCCATGTACCCACATTGTACATACTTTGACCCTGCAGCACCTGCAACGGGAAGCCCTTCAAGGTCAAAGTCTCCCGGTTTTGGTCTGGGTTTCACAAGACTTTAAGACTTTGGGACAGGGTTTGGGGCGTTTTTTGGAGAGAGAGAGAGAGAGAG